ACAGAAAATAGACCTTCTTCTCTCAACCACACTGTTTGCAGAACCAAAGAGCTCAAAGCCAATTTGTGAACCACACTGAAAATCTTTAACTGATTGTGAAAGATAGCTTTGCAGTCACAACAAAAACTCACCAGGGTCTTTTATCCTCCACTTCATCCAGAAATACCAAACTGCTGCTCTTCCTTTAAACACTGATGGCATCTATGTCATCAGCAGAGCTGACAGACATACTGTGTGTGGGGCAGAGGGAAACCAGAGCCCAGCACACTCATCCATAGCCAGCACTTGCACAGAAGTCAGCAGTGGACCTACATTAACCACAACACAATTTTAAATTAAAGGAAAATCCCCAAAGAATCCCATGAACAAAGTAGTAGCTCCTGTCCTCCAGTGATGATCTGGAAGGAAAATGTAAGAAAAACAAAAGGAACCACTTAAGGCATATTCTATTCTTCAAGACAGTATTTTGCTATTGGCACCATTGGAACAGAAATACGTTTGGCTGTTAGGTCTAAATTGTACCCCAATACTAGAAGAAAGACCATACATAAGATATCATTTGTTCAATGCTAGAAGTTTTATAATCTATTCAACTTGGTGGATTTAGTTGCTGTTGTTCAAAAGTGGGTTTGAACTATGAAAACTGAGGTTAAAAATGTTAAAATTTAATTTTCCAGCGTTCTCAGACCTATAAATCAAAGATAAAAACACCACAATGCTCACAAACAACTTCAGTTTGAACAATGAATTTTGTAGCAGAAGTGTATCAGCAGATACCTTCACATGCTGGACTGTGGCTCCTCTGGAGCTTTTCACCTCTCACTTGGAGAGCAGAATGTACTTTGTGCCAATCAGAGCACAAAAGTGAAAGGGAGATCTCGCTCAACTCAAAAACCCAGTCCTCAAACAACATTAAACACCTTTATCAGGAGATGTTATCAAAATCTGTCAGGTTATCACATGGAGCAAATCAGAGAGCTGGAATGCAAATCACTGCCATGCAAATAAAGATGCCATACATACATTCCTGTGAAGTCTTGGCAATGCTCTCAAAAGGACACTCTGCGTAAATTAGATGCTACTTCCCCAGCCTCTCCCAGCTATGGAGGTGGTGACCCTTCACCTACATATAATTCAACCATGAAACTGTAACCAAAAGAGGAGACAATCCAATGTGTGACTTAGACTGCAGAAGGCTGACAATACTGAAATTAACTTTCCCTGGCCAATACCAGGAGATTAAGAGGGGAAAGCACTCCTTTCAACCCAGCACTGGCCAAAGTTAGCAGGAGACATAAGGGTTCTGAAAGCAAAGTAGGTTCAACCAGCCTTTACAAACTCATCACAAAACCTCTACATGCTTCATGCTCCATTGGTAGCTCATTACAGCAAGAGCTCCGTGCCTTACTTATGCAAATATTCAAGTGTGCCACCACTAAAACGTTGCAGTAAGAAAAAATCAACTCTCCCCAAATGTCCCAGAGTGGTGACTAATGACACAGCTGTTAGTCCCAGATCCTGCACTGCTACCAGAAGCCACTACCCTGTACAGTGCAAATGGCACCACATACACCAATGACATGAATAGGGACAGTGACAGGATAAAAAGGAAGGGTATCAGCCTTACGTGAGCAGTAGCATAGTGAAAAATAAGGTTATGCCATTACTTTTTAGTAAGGAATACTTGTAAGTCTACATTTAAATGGAGTACCCAAAACACTAGTTTGGTTGAACGTATAAGTAAATATTCTAAACTATACTTTGCACAAGCATTTAAGTGTCTCAGATGAAAAGCATTCAAGTCCAGCACGTGAATATCTTCCTGCCTTGGGACCCCTGTGTGAGACTCAGCTGAGAGGTGGGCTGTAGGAACCCTCACCCACACACACCATGGGGCTAAGGCTCAGACTGCAAATGGCAGCTCATTCCCAAAATGGGAATGCATGTAGTGCATCAGAAAAGACTAATATCTGCTCATCCATAAAAGAAAATGTGAACTTGCCCTGTGAATACTTCTGCATCTGAGGAATCCAACAATGAGGCAGTTTAATCTTCATAACTGCCACTGCAGCCTTTCAGTACATGGGCTGTATTTGACCACCAATTGAGAAAAATCTCTGGTATTAGCCACAGTAGATTTCCTTTGCTATCACTCTTTCTCTAAGGGTGTACAGTACACAGTCTTCAAAAAGTATAAGCCTTCAGTATGATTTGCAAAGTCTCTTCTCCTGAGTTAGGTAGGTGTCAAGAAGCAGACATGATTTGGGAGATGAAAGTCAGCACCCAACCAGATAGGTTGAGAGAGAAGAACCCACACAGCCAAATAAGGCTCTCAGCCTTGATGCCACCCTGTGAAGCACCAGAAATAATACCAGCATAAGGCCCAAGGGGCAGCAGAGGCAGAAGAAGGTACTGGAGTGACAGAGGTTTGCAGTCTTGTTGTCATGCTGTATTTCCTTCTCCTCCAGAATTTTCTCCTTGATACATTAGAGACCATATTGCATTCACTCTTTAGGATACGCTGCTACTATAAAACTCACTTTTCTACAAGTCTTACAGAGTCTCCATTTTCTCACCTGAACAGAATTGGGATGCCAGTTATAAACAGATCTCCTAGCCCACCCTCCAATGAGAGGAACACTTCTGCTTCCAACCAGACTGCACTCAAATGCAGCATAAAACATACAGTCTCCTTCAAACCTTGGGGCTAAGCTCTGCTGCAGGCAGTTATAAAACAGAGTTCAAGTTGACCAAAAACTTGTATAAGCACATCATAGTTTTACTGTTTTCTATTTGGCATTCTGATGTGAATTGGTGAAAAAGGATGGGATTTTTGGTACAAAAGAATGCGGAAGGAACAGCTAATAAAGGATAAAAGAGGATCTGAAAGCAGAAAACACAACAATAACTGGAAATTACTTAAATAATTATTTCCATTATTACATAACAGAAACAACAAAGTTTTGGGCTGGGTTTTTTTGTGTTGAGAAATTTGAGGTGGATTCTTACCTCAATTAAGTCAATACAAACCCAGAGTAATGCAATTCACTTCAACAGTTCTCTGCTTTTTAGCAAGAGCCCTTGAGAACAGAATCAAATGCAGGTATGCACAGTCTTCTCTCTGGGAGGCTGTCACCTCCTATAGGTTCAATTAAATAGGCAGTGAAGTAGAACCAAAACAGCCCTGGAATCGTTGTCAGAGCGTGACTGACATCTGGGAAAGCACCAAAAGGAACTAATACATCCCTTTCATACACATCACAAAAGCTCACACAGCAGTGTCCCAGGCGGGATTAGGTGGATTCATGAACACCTATTGGTTGACAAACAAATGCTAAAGGCAATAGACAGGGATGGCCACTCCATCATCACCAATCCCATAACTTTGAGCACTGAGAAGAAGGAGGCAAAAAGGCTCCAAAGTGTGGCCAAGGACCAGGGCAAATTTCAGGCTTAGCTGGGCAACTCATCTGACCCAGCAGGGAGTTTCATACATTTTTCTTACTCATGCCTATCTCCCTATTCTGAAGTTACTGTACCATTTTACTGTATATGAACTATGAAGCAGCCTTCCTCTGAAATTATTGGATAATTCACTGTTATTTACGAATTTATCATTTTCCTACCGTATCGGTCACATTGCTAAGTAATTGCTATGTCCTTCATTCCAAAACTATAATGTTGTGGGACTGGGATGGGGATGGATCTGGATTCTTTAGCAGGACTATGAGAACCTTCCTAAACCTTCAGGTCTTTTGACCTGACAAATTTGCTAAGAGTCAAGGGGAAGCAGAGCAGAGTGCTTTACTTTTTTATGTGCTAGAATAGTACGAAACCCCATGTATTCAACCCTTGTAACACTGGTATTTGTTCTCCCTTATCCTGATTCTGTCTCTCTCATTACCCATGCACAGCTACTGCCCCATCTGTAATACAGACCAGTTCTGGGCACAGGCAGGTCCCAAGCCATGTACCTCAGATTCCTTGAGATAGAATTATCTCAATTGCTTCTGTGCCAGTCGAGCACCAAACCTGTAGTTTCTGTCTCAATCTACTAATGCCTTTGGGCAAGGATAGGCCCGAGCTGTTCCTTTAAGGGTGCTGAAAGTGGATACTGAAAGAAAGCCAGCTGGAAGTGTTTTCAAAGGAGGTGTCATGAGAACAAGCTGAAATACCAGAAGAACAAGAAAAGAAAAAAACAAAACAGCAGCCCAGTACCTGCACCTGCAATACGCACAGGACAGCCAGAAGACAGACTGAAGATAGTAAAGGGGAACCTTTTCCTTGGAATTAGAAAAGGAAACACTCCAGCAGACAAGGTAAGATCATATATGAACTTTGCAAAGCATACAACCTGCAGTGACAAGGGAGGAAAGAAGAGAGCAGTCCAGTGGGGAACTGCGGGGCTGCGTCAGGCTGTGTGAGAGAAGAGCTGACAGCTCCAGCATCAACCAAGAGCTGATGGGGGAAACAGGGAATGGAGGAGGCTTTGCTTTGAGAATGACACCGAGGCATCCCCCCTATCTCCCCATAAATTAAGAAAAACCCTAGAGTTATAAAATACAACTTGATCAGAAGAGGTGGCTGAATAGGAACAAGTTGGATCCCTCCCCCTTCAGCAGCAGGGCAGAGATCTTGCCGTCAGAGGTTTTTGGTTTAAGAATGCAGAACACAGCAGTTACCCCAGCAGCCGGCTGGTTGAGCTGGGGCTGCAGCAAAGCCCCTCACCGAGGGCACAGAACTGGGGCGGGAGCACAGCCCTCTGCGGGCAGAGCAGCGCCCACCTCCCACTCCCTAGGGGCAGAGCCAGCCGCCCCTGCAAGCCCGCTGGAAGTGTTTTCAAAGGAGGTGTCATGAGAACAAGCTGAAATACCAGAAGAACAAGAAAAGAAAAAAACAAAACAGCAGCCCAGTACCTGCACCTGCAATACGCACAGGACAGCCAGAAGACAGACTGAAGATAGTAAAGGGGAACCTTTTCCTTGGAATTAGAAAAGGAAACACTCCAGCAGACAAGGTAAGATCATATATGAACTTTGCAAAGCATACAACCTGCAGTGACAAGGGAGGAAAGAAGAGAGCAGTCCAGTGGGGAACTGCGGGGCTGCGTCAGGCTGTGTGAGAGAAGAGCTGACAGCTCCAGCATCAACCAAAAGCTGATGGGGGAAACAGGGAATGGAGGAGGCTTTGCTTTGAGAATGACACCGAGGCATCCCCCCTATCTCCCCATAAATTAAGAAAAACCCTAGAGTTATAAAATACAACTTGATCAGAAGAGGTGGCTGAATAGGAACAAGTTGGATCCCTCCCCCTTCAGCAGCAGGGCAGAGATCTTGCCGTCAGAGGTTTTTGGTTTAAGAATGCAGAACACAGCAGTTACCCCAGCAGCCGGCTGGGTTGAGCTGGGGCTGCAGCAAAGCCCCTCACCGAGGGCACAGAACTGGGGCGGGAGCACAGCCCTCTGCGGGCAGAGCAGCGCCCACCTCCCACTCCCTAGGGGCAGAGCCAGCCGCCCCTGCAAGCCCGCAGCCCACTGCATTTCCCTGCTCAGCACTGGTGGCAGGTTTTTCCTGCACAGCTGCTTATATCAGGTAGGAAACTTCTGGTCTGACCTATTTGCCAGCCTAACACAGGTGCCTTAAAGAGTAAACCTACAGAAAACAGACACGTCTAGCAGAAAACCCCCAAGAGCACATGTGCTGGGGATGGAGGGATGCAGTCACGAGGGCACACCTGAAGTTTTCAGTATATAGCTCAAAACAGGAGTTACTGCACACTATGGCAGAGCCCTGCCAGAGCCGGGCGGCATCAGAGCTGCAGCACACAGCGCCCTGCGAGTCCTGAGAATGCAGCAGCTTGCCCCAGTCACCTCCCAGGATGCCGGGCATTTTGAAAGGATCCGGGAGACTGCTGCCTTTGCGTCACACAACCTGCTGGGGGACAGCAAACGTGGCAAGCGCTGAAACAGACTGGGGCAAAGAATTTAGGCTGGCAAGGGAAAAATGTAACCTGGCTAAGCCACAGGGCTAACTTGTACGGATGTTATTCATTACAGTGCTAGAGATGCTCTTCACTCCTCCTCTGCTCGGTGCCTTTTCTCAGAACCCCTCAGTGCCCCGTGAAGCGTTCACATGGCACCAGGGTGCTGTAACACTTAATGATTATCATATGAAAGGAGGGGATGCTTTGGTGACTAAGAGAGTGTGATCCTGGGCAGGAACAAAACTGGTCCTGCCAAAGCCATGTTTGCAGCAGCAGCGATTACAACAACTGGGGAGGAAGGAGGGACAGAAATGCTTCGTTTCCTGAACAGTCTGAAGGTCTTACATTGTTCCCGTACACACTTTTCCTTTGCTGGGGTCATCTTGCCCTCTAGTGGCTCTCACTACCGAGCTGACACACAGCTAAATTAATTTCTGCTGTAAATCCTGTTATGTCAGTGGTTTCTCCATCATGCATAAAATAAAATAATTTGAATTCCCTTTGATCTATACCCATTTCTTAGTGCATCAGGCCATTAGTATAATGTGGAATCATGGTGTGGAGTTACAAAAGTTGATGCATAATGCCTGCTCCTCATACATTTTATATCATAACCTATAAAAGGATTTTCTGCCCATCCAGTCTGGAGTGATGTAGTCAACAGGTATATTCACATTTTTTTGCTGTTTTGGAAGAGATCTTTCTTCAGCTTTAAAAAAAAAAACCTTTAAGGAAAAACACTGCCTACAAAATCTTCATTTTTAGGATTAATATTTTTGCGTGAAAAAAGTTCTCAGGAGGTAAATGGGCTAAAGTCAAAAGCAGAGTGACAAAAAACATAACTGATAACATGCACCCTCCAGAGGTCTCCAAAAAGATAGAAATTGTACACATGTAGATTCCTGACACGGCCTATACCAGCATGGAGTGTACCTTACTGTGTGTACCTCCCTTTAAACTCATTGTGGCTTCTCTTTGGGCTCCACCCAGCAGTTGCAAAGTTTAATTTATTACATAGGTCTCAGCTGAGACAAAATATAGGCAAAATATAGGCAAAAATATCTACTTTGCTTCATTATTAAATACCACCTTCAATGACCACAATGCTTTTTTTATAAATTGAAAATAGAATGTCTATATCCAAATAGGATTTCTGAGGCAATTCATTCCAGCTGAGGCTTTACAGCCCTTCATTCATTAGTGACTCCAGTCTGCCCTGGAGTTCCCAGCTCTCTGAAATAGGAAAGCCACACAGGTCTCAGAGGTGAAGGAGCAAAAACGGTGATTATGAACTAGTTACTTGTAATTCAACAAGGTGCTTGGCTGTGATCAGTCATGGTGTCAAATGAAATCTCCGTGCTCAGCTGTCTAGAGTGACTTTTGTCTAGAAAGGCTTTTTCTGTGGTTAGCTTGGTCAGTGCAGGCTGAATGACAGTGCAATTTATCTCCCAGTTAAAGGTCTTCCAAGGGATTCTTCATACTCTATCCACAAAGACAGAGAAAATGCAGACAAATGTAAGGAAAAGCTGTTCAGTTTAAAGTTATTAAGAAAAATGTTTTCCACTTGCCAGCCTCTAAGGAGCACTCCTTAGCATCAGAAACCACAAAGTAAAAATCAATTACAAGAGATCTTTGTGCTGGCACAGGCAGCATCATCCTCCTAACTTCTACCTCAGCTTTGCTGCAGATGCCATGGGCTGCTGGAAGCAAGAGAAAAGCAACACCTGGACATTTCCCACCCTGATCCTCTGCCTCTATGGATTCTTCTACATGATGAAACCATCAGAACCTTTCCTAACCCCTTATCTAACAGGGCCAGATAAAAACCTGACCATAGACAAGGTATGTTCTGCTTTTTTTTTTTTTTTGCTTTTTTTTTCTTGATATGCAGCAATGAAAAAAAAAGAAGTAAATCTTTAAACAAAGTTTTTAGGCAAAGATAAAAACCAAAGCCATGCTGTAACCAGGTTAGAATTTGCAGCAGGTGGCATAAATAAAAGATCCTGTTAATGGGCTTAAGATCCATTTGACTGCTCAACAGTCATATTCTGCTTCAGTGTGGGTATATATTTTATTAATTCCTTCAGAGCAAAAGCTTTCCTCTACAAAGCCATTTAAATTAAATGAAATTCTTTTCCCCAAGAATAAGACTACAGAGGTTTCCTCTTCTCCTATAGGTTACCAACCAGATTTTCCCAGTGTGGACATACTCCTACCTCGCTCTCCTTTTCCCAGTCTTTCTGATCACAGACTACCTGCGCTACAAGCCCATCCTCCTCCTCCAGGGCATCAGCTTCATCACCACCTGGCTCCTGCTGCTCTTTGCACAGGGGGTGCTGGCCATGCAGATGGTGGAATTCTTCTACGGGATGGCGACAGCCACCGAGGTCGCCTATTACGCCTACATCTACAGCGTTGTCAGCACCGATCGCTATCAGAGAGTGACCAGCTACTGCAGAAGCATCACCCTGGCTGCAGCCACCCTTGCTGCCGTGCTGGGGCAGCTGCTGGTTTCCCTAGCAGATGTATCCTACTTTCACCTCAATGCCATCACTTTGGCTTCCGTGTCCCTGGCATTTGTGACTTCCTTTTTCCTCCCAATGCCCCAGAAGAGCATGTTCTTCCACAGGAAAGACATCCCGGTAGCTCTGCCAGGACCAGATCAAGTCGTGGCTGCAGTTGGCTCCCACAGGCCCTCGAGCTGCCCAGAGGACAAGGGCTCTGGATCTGCTGGCAGGGAACCCACACCTGAACAGCAGGCAGGTCGTGTCCAGCCCCAGAATGGTGTGCTCAGAGTGCTGGTGCAGCTGAGCCAGGACCTGAGGGACTGCTACAGCTCCAGGAAACTTCTCTACTGGTCCCTCTGGTGGGCTCTGGCTACAGCAGGCTTTAACCAGGTTCTGAACTATATCCAAGTACTGTGGGACTTCAGAGCCCCCTCTCACAGCTCTGCAGTGTACAATGGAGCTGTTGAAGCAATAGCAACTTTTTTAGGTAAGTCAGTGTCTAAGCATTGATCACAAAGGCAGCTTCTAAAGTTTTGAACATGTTAAAGTGCCATTCCTTCACAGACACTCCAGGAAGGCAGCATATACATTGTGCATTCCAAATCTAGTTCTGGGTGTACAGAACCATTCAAATGGGAGCTCTGCTATGTCTTTATGAGTAGGACACCCAACTTTCTCCTACCAGTATGCCAAGAGCGTACAAGTCACACAGACTTTTCATCCAACTTTTAAAGCCATTCAGAGGCACCTGTGCTTTTGATGTTGGTGTAACCTTCTGATGAAGTTGGGTTTTTTTCCAAAAAAAAGTAATTGCATCGTTCTCGTAACAATGGTATCAGCTTACAGTTTTCCATACTTTACAGAAAAAAAATACAATCCTCTCATTAAGATCTTGCTCTAGTGAAATACTGTTGTGCAGCAGGAGGGAAAG